CTGACCAGGAGACTGACACGCATGGGTCCCGTTAAGCTCCCTGACTGGGGACCTGGGGATGATGGTCACCGATGGTTGGAGACATTGAGTGGTATCGATTTGCTCACAGGTGGTAGATTGTCTGACCTGGAGTGTGCAGGCGAGATTGTGCCGTTAAGTAACGATCCAGGTAAGTTGCAAGCTTTTCTGGATAGTTTGAGTGTCATGTTCGGTATGCGTTTTTGTACCTTCAAAGTGTAAAATGTTGCTACAGAATTGAGTTAGTTCAGCCCCCAACCTCATCCTGATGGTGGTAATAGTAGAGAAAGTAGACAAGTATTGTTATCGCGGCAGCTACACCTCACCCGGTGGACGTATCACAGATGAAGTGTCAGCTCGCATACAAAAGGTTCGGTTAGTATTCGCCAACTTAGGACATTTGTGCCGTCGCCCCAACATCCGGCTGTCCGTGAAGGATCGAGTGTATGTTGCGGGAGTTCGGTCAATTGTGCTATACGGCGCAGGAACTTGGTCATCAAGAATACAGAATAACGATAGACTTTCGGTGTGTGAACACCTCTGTCTACGCTGGATTTCACGAATCAGCCATACGAGCGATGCTGAGATTAGGAGTAGAGTTTTAGGTGATTGATGTTCGCCAAGGCAGGTAGTGTGTGGAATAAAGCCCAGGGTGGTCAAGCGAAGACTTGGAACGAGGGTATGAAAAAGCTAACGAGGAAAAGCAGTCACCTATGTCTGGTTAAACTCCGTGGTTGGGGACCTCGGGATGATCGTAACCGATGGCTGGAGTGTCATAAACAGTCGCGTTCACACATCTTCCCAATTTCTTCGCAACCTTAGTTCACTGAAATTCTCCGTTTTCTCTTCCACTCTACTTTCAACTTTCCTGTTTTCCTCCAACTGTTCATCCAAATAGACATCCAAAAGACAGCAACCAAAACGGGCGCACGAAGGTCTACGGTTTATGGTTAGACACGTTCTTTGAGTCGAGTTACTCGCACTTTTGTTTTGTAGATTACCTTTAGTTGGCTCATGGAATTTTTCGGGTTGAATTTACAGACAATCACCAACACATTTTCACAAATGATCTTGCAGGAGCTGATCAGTGTTCACCTCATCAAGTAATCACAACTGAACCCCTTAAATTAGTGAGATATTTCTTTGAAACCACGAAAATTTGTATACCCTCTCCACAGTGATTCGGCAATCCTTCTTACCATCTGCTTTATTGATCTACCTTTACACTCCAAACGCGCTCTCCTCCCTGCAAGTATACTGACAATGTCTTTGTATCTCATGTCACGCTGAGCTCTTGATAGTCAGAGTCTACCGGATTTCATCGGAGCATGGTCGATTGCTAACTTCCTCTGAGTTCACTCCCTCTACAGCACACTGAGTTTCCACGTGGCCATTTCGTGCCTCTGCCTCACTGAAACACCGTCAAGCTCATTCAAAAATGACCGGTCCTGCTTACCCCTGTCATCGGCAGCGTCTCGTTCGCATCCGAATTTGACCACATGTACCCATCCACTTGGGGTTGGATTAACTGATAATGCTGAGCGTTGAACTCGTGTGGATGAGGCGGAAATGACCTTTAGCGACTAAGAGATGACTCCAAATCAGAGTAGACGTATGTTGATACTTTCTCCCCATCGGGGTTACTCTTCCCGATTAGGATCTACCGGCCATATCAGTTTTCATCTGTCATCAGTTGTGCGCTTACGTCTCAGTCACGCCCTAACCCATGTTGTAGTCGCCAGAGTTTAACACAGCCCATCGTTGGACGTGTAACAATAAATAAACTCATAAGTTGGCAGCAACAAAGGGAGAAGAAAAACGTGCGACAAAGCGGGAGAGACACATGTGGGATTGTGGATGAACATGCCCGCCTGGGTACCACGTTCTAGTAGCCGAGATTGACAACAGTATCGATCCGAATGTGAAACTGGGTGCACGATCCTTCTATTCGCCCCAAATCTTTCGAAAAACGCATCGCGATGCGATTTTCCTGGTGTTATGGTTGGGTATTTTTTCCCCTTACATACCATTCGCATTCTATTTGGTTAGCAAAATCAAAATGCTTAAAGAAGGAAAACTTTAACTATTATCATGAAATCGTGTGGTCAAATTGAACGAATCAGGAAAAAACCGCACAAACACACACACACACTGTGATTTATGGTACGAGAGTGTTCTGAGGGGGGGGGTGAAATCACACCCGAAAATATGGGACTATATTTAAACGAAATCAACAGATAGACGTTTTTATTACACACCAGTATGTGATGAACAGTAGACGGGGTGGACCCCACATAGTCATGAAGACCTGCTGCTGTTCA